ATTTATAATTATCAATAACATTTCATCAATTTTATAATTATAATTACAATATAAATTTTTAGAATGATAATAAAAAATAAATAATTAAAATATAAGATAGTAAAATGGTGGGTTCTCAAAAAGTTGTGAAAAAAATTTAAAACTAATGGAAAGAAGAGATTTTGTGATTGGGTGAGATAGTGGATGATGATGTAGATGTTGGGGTTCACAAAACTCTGAAGTAAAATCCCCAACTATTGAGGATGCTCTTCCTTGAGGGATAGTAAATTGTGACCCAAGTTCCTATCAATTAGTTGTATATTACTGTGCACAAAAAGCTCTCTCTTAACATTGAATATTGGTCAATTAACCTCCTTATGGTTATATGGTTGGTAAATCTTATTGTTGATTGATTATCCAGTAAGTTATGTTGAGACACCTGTTTTATCCTTTCCTTGGGACGAGCATATATTGCTTTCTTTTAACCATGATTTTAGGATGAATCTAGCTAGCTAGTAAAAGTTTATAGGGGGTATTTAATTTTATTCTGCTTCAAGCATATGCTTAAATGAATAAATGGTATATAGCTCTTTCTGATGCTTCCATGTATTTAGACAACATATGCTTATTAGAGCAATAACATTATTAGTGAAAGGGAAGAGTGATAAAATCCATATTTTATAACTGTTATGTTTTTTAAGAGTTTTTAAGAAAAGGAGGGGGCTGGGGAGCTAAGCTGAAGTCACTCATGCACTCATTGAGTGCTATAGAGCATCACCATCTATGAATTTTGGAGAGGTTTTTGCAACTTTTAGATCCATGTGGAGGAGAAAGCCTTGGAGAGAGAATCGTGAGGAGCTCCTGCAAGACATCAGTTTTTTGTGGGTTCCGCAAGAGAGAGAATGCAGAAGACTACTGCTTTTGTGCGCGTTTCGCGCACATACAATACCCAGTTGGGTGCCTATACTCAGTTGGCGCGTTAATTGCGTTGCTTTTTTTTTTTTTTCTTTTTCTTTTTGTGTTAGAATTACTTTTTTTTTTCTCCCTCTTTTTTCTTCTTCTCTCTCCATCTTCTTTCTTCTCGTTGACACTTGGCACCTCAAAAATCATTAAAAAAAGAAAAAAACAACTTCTACTGCTGTTGCTCTTAGGATGATCACCTGTTTATAACAACCTTAGAATTTTTATTTTTTTTAAAAAAAATATTTTCTCTCCCTCTAAAGTTGATGCTAAATCTAACTAAAAATTTCATTTTGGAGTTTTTACTATTATGATTGCTCTTTAATACTTTAGTCTCTTTTCCATAATACTTGGGATCATACAAAGCTTGAATTGATTAAAAGATAGATTTACAGTCAAGCCTACAAGGCTACGAGTAGGCAGCGCTATTATATTAGCTAGGCACCACACAGAATAAAGTAACAGAAATTGGTATACACTCATCATGTCACGTCAACTGAAATACAGTACGAAAATGTGTGCAGATTAATATTGTTGGGACCAAGTCAAACACTTTATAATCTCTCTCTTTCTTTCTTCCTTTTTTAACATTTATAGCGGAAAGAATATTTGTTTGAGGTCAAAAAGGAGGGACCAAGTGCTAAACTTTCCTGGCAATTTCTAAGAAACATTACTTGAGTAATAAGAGTTTATTGAAGTATTTTTTATACTTCAAGTGGTAGAAATTTAATTCTTGAATTATATGTGATCATCTTTTTTTTTTGATGCTCGATCTCATGACTTCTCATCTCATATAAAAGAGGTCATTATATGCCATTTGAGTATAATGTGTTTGGCATATGTGACCATCTTTAATTGCTAAGTTATTTGAAAATTGAGAAATAGCAATTTTAGCCCCTCAGAGACTATTTATGCCACCAATATGTCACTTAATAAAATGTTAAATTTGATCTTTCAAGAACTAAACTCATTACTTTACGCATAAATTAAGAGTTAAAAGATAATTTGTGGACAAAAAAGTTTTAGAATTTCTAGGTGTAATAGGAACAATATGGTGCAATATTTACATTTCAAACTTGTAAATATTATTAATTTACTCACGTAAAAGTGAATAAAATTATTGTATTGTTTATTCTTTTAAGATGTTCACTTCTTTTTTTTTTTTTTTTTAAATCTCTTTTCTATCTCATCAATACTAATAATATGATGAGAAATTGAGAATATATATTTCTGAAAGTATAGTTAGTATTTTCTAAAATAAAAGTACCAACACGAAAAGGCGAGATTATGCCTCTTTCATGGAAATTGAAGTGATTTTATATTTTTATTAACCAGAAAATGTAGAGTAGAATGATTACAGAACAACGGGACATAACCCTCCCCCATATATGAGTAAATTTAAAATTTGGCCCAAAAAGCTTTGAGATTTAACTAGGATTACTGAAACTTTTGAGACCAAATTGAAGCTAAAATAAAACTTGAAGGACCAAACTCAGAAATTTACTCTGGGGGTCTCAATGATAGAGGATTCAACGAAAGTTCCACTGCACGGTGCCCCTGCAATAGTAAATAATGGAAATATATACTTACAAATCTACTCTGTAATAGTCTGTATCACCTAATTATATGTGCATGAGAAGTAAATTCTCTTAAAACAATTAATGGCCTGAAAATTCGTTAATGGATCAATTAATTTACAAAATAATGATCCATGTTTACATGTTTTTTTTTTTTTTTTTGAGTACTACGGACTCTGTTACAATGTAGTATCTGTTCATCTACTTTCTCAACTTATTGAAGCACAAAGAGTCAATATCGCTCCCACTAGGATCAATCATGATCTTTCATTTGGGAGAGTCATTAAATTAAATTTAGTAATAAGGTCAAATAGGTCATCGGACTGCACACGATAATGCAATTAAGTCATTGAACCTAAAAAAAAAAATTACAATTGAATTCCTAAAATAACCTATTTCATGCAATTGAATTCCTAAATTAACCTATATATTTCATACAATTAGTCAAATTTATAGTTTTTTCAAATTTTTAACAGGTCACCCCAAATATTTTTTAAAAATAATTATTAAAATTTTTTTTTTTAAAAATAGAACCTTGTTCTGTATCTTCATCTCTGACCATGGAAAAGAAGTCACGAAGGTCCCTACCTTCGTCTCCATGACCAGAGACGAAAAGAACGAAGTTCTAGTTGTTTTTTTTTTTTTAAATTTAATAATTATTTTTAAAATATTATTTTTAAAAAAATATTTAGGGTGACCGATTATAAACCTGCAAATTGGACTAATTACACGAAATAGATTAGTTTAGAGATTAAATTGTAAATTTTTTAGATTCATTGACCTAATTGCATTATCGTGAGTCGTTCGATATTTAATCCTTACTCCTTAAATTTATTAACTAAACATCATTTGCTTAAAACAAATCAAATAGGTTTAGTAACATAGAAACATGAGACCTTACCATTTACAATGCCTCTGGCAGCTCTGTCTTCCAAGAACTGTGATGACTTGAAGAAGTTACCATATGCCTCACACCAACTCTTTAGCCTTGAACATATGTACTTTGGTCCAATTGAATCTGCCCAAAATATTATACCTCCACTGCAACCAACAAAACAACAAATTCAATATCTATCCATTGAGTTAATATTCGATTTAGTCCCTCGACTATTAGGATCTCACCATTTTTATCGACTTCCAATATGCAATTTTACCTAAAACAGTCCTTTGTCCAAACCAAAATAGTCTTGATTAGGACCATTTTGGATAATAATTGCATAGTTGGGGTCCTTGGAGATGAAATTGAATAAGTTTGGTAGTCGAAGATCAAAGTGGTGAAATCCTAATAGTCGAGGGACCAAATCAAGTAATAACTCTTTATCCATTTAACCAAATCAGATGGAACAAATATAGCAATATAGCAATTGAACAAGTTTGGTAGTCGAAGATCAAAGTGGTTAATAATTTTGCATGCTGTTTTTATTTGTTTCTACATTGGTTGTTCTGTGTTTTTTGTTTTGTGAAATCAACTGTCATTGCCAATCTGTTTGTTTATATATAGGAATTTATGATTAAAGAAGATAGAAGAAACATCATAATTATTTAAATTTTTTTCAAAGAAAAAGCACATTATCAGTTTAATAAATCTATACTCTATTTACATGGAAGGGAGCATACTGAACAGCATTATGCAGGGCAATAAACAGACCCTGTGTTTGACATATATATTTGTTTTGGTTTTTTTTTTTTTTTTTTTAATTATATTTTATTTTATTATTGTTTATAATTATACATGAGCAAATTATTGTGTGGACTATGGTCTACATAGTGTTATGTGGACCATAATAAAATGTACATTTTTAATATACTAAATATACATTATTTTTGTATTGTATGTACATTATACAATATAATGTATACTCAGTACAAAACTAATGTACATCCCCCAATTACAATGTACATTATTTTTGTGTTAAATGTATATTATTTTACTGTATACAAATATGGTCCATACAACTTATATGGACCATGGTCTACACAATAATGATTGTTATACATGGGAGAGACTCACAATGCTAAAGTTCTCTTCTAGTAAATGGGCTGCATAATTGGATGGGCTTAGAACAACATCAATAATTATTTTTCTGTTCTTTTGCCTGCTATGTTGTGAATTATGATACATATTTTTTGTTTGACAGTCCTTAGGTATACCATTTGCAGCTGGTGATTTCTTCCCATGGTAGACGGTATTGTCATTTTTATTTTGATGGACATTGGTTGTTCTGTGGTTTTTTATTTTTATTTTTATTTTGATGAACAACTAGTTTTCGATTTGTGGATTATATCATGAATGCATGCTCATTGTTGATTAATCAACTGCCACACTACCAAAAAGATTATAATTATAAATGTGTATCAAATCCTATATTTGTGTTAAGTTGTCAAAAACAATATACGTATAGCAAGAGAAGAGAATAGTGTCATCAAAGCATCTAAAATGGGAAATCTATTACACATGCATTTTCTGAAAACCGGCCTAGATTTGAGCAATCATGTCTTGAATCTCTCTCTTACTTGAATGATTTAATGTTGGAAGCACATTGAAACAATGATGGGTCCAGGTAGTCCAGCAACATTCCCCCAATTGCACATCCTGAAATATAAGAATTAACTAACTAACTAACTAACATAAATCGGGCGGGTTATGTTTTTGCAAATTAAACTCACCTATACTCTGCCCGGTTGAAGGGGGAAGGAATGAAGCTCCTATTCCGGCCCCGATTGCCATGAAAACAAGAGATGCACCACACCTAACCGTAGCAATGTAAACCTTCTTTCCAAGCATCCTAACTTTTTGTTCCATTTCATCCTTTGATTTAAAGAGTCGCCATGTATCTATCCCAACTTGGACAATCCAAGATACCAGGACATCAAGGCAATGACCTTTGAAAGTTGTTCGGGCAACACTGTATATGTAGATCAAAGTTGGCATTCCTCTACCAGCCTTGCGAACAGTTGACCTGGGAACATCTGCCCGCATAATATATATATTATTCATCACATCAGATCACATGTTAATTGATGAAGATAATGATCGAGTAGTAACAAAACACAGTTAAATTAGGTATGTACCTTTTCCATGCCATACGTTGCGAGACATAATGGACTGCAACTCTCTCCAACACACGTCTAGTAGTTACAACTGTGGTCTAACTCATGATACATCACAAGGAGGGAATTTCAAAGCATAATTCAAAACTCAAGATTAGTGCAATGAAAGAAGCTAAAAAGCTTCTAAAATGAGTGTAGTAATCAAATCAACACAGCTCAATTAATTTATATATAATGTCACAATGTAGTTGGGAAAGGTTACCTCACGACAAATTTGTTTAACTGACTTCATTAAAGGAGTAATCAAATCAACACGCTGCTCTTCCTGAGAGTCTTGTAGAAATTCTTTGTCGTCTTCATCATCACCCTCCATCTTTGCATGGGGCTTTGGAAGAATCTTTGCATGGGCCTTCTTCAGAAGAGGGAAGTAAAAGTATAGGAGAGACCTCAAGGATGTAAGGACAAAATTTCTCCAATAAAATGTCGAAAACAATGGTTTTTCCTCAATGAAGTATACTTTGGAACTGTATGGTTGGAGATTAGCTGTTGAATCACTTTTTAAGCTATCTTCAGAGACTCCAGTGCCAGCATCGCAAAGTGCAACTCTTGTCCCAGTGTTACTGTATCAGACCAAACTATTAGGTATCAATATTTTATAAGACTAGCTAGTTCGACCAAAAATAAATTAAAAAAAATGGGGAAGAGGATCAAACATGCCTATAAACCTAACTTGCATGCTAAAGGGGATTCCAATCAATACTAATACAAGTAGATTATCTATATATGTTAGATATGGCTATATATGGATATAAATAAATAAATAAATAATAAATATATATATATATATATATATATATATATATATATATATATATATATATATATATATATATATACGGAACAGTGAATTTTTTACCCTAAAAAGGCTCTATAAGCAAAAGGAATGGTTGCGGCAATAGAAGCGGTGGAAGTAGAGGCGGCGAGTTTAGCTGAGAAGACGCCATAAGAGTAGAGGGTCGAGTCACTGAAGCTTGGGTTTTTCCGAAGCAGATCCAACACAGTCGCAATCCCAGACATACTTTATATATATATATATATATATATATATATATATATATATATATATATATATATATATATATATACTGTTGGGAAAAATCTCACCTCCTGTGACAAATTAAAAAAATACGAGATAACACAATAACCTTAGAATAAATGTCACTATTTACGTGAAAAAACCCCCCAATCTAGAAAAAACCACAAAACCACCACCAACAAAATATTTCACTATAATAAATCTTGGGTACAAAGTTTCAGGCTACCACACCAGCCAAACATCCACAAATCATCAAATACAACAAGGCCAAACAAAAACTTTTCCAGAGGCCTAAAAGGAATACTAACTCGTACTTAAAATATTCAACTATCACAAACAAGGTGAAAAATACAAATACTACGAGATTACCCAAACAAACTAACCTCTCAAAAATATTTAATGAAGAAAACATCAACGAACCTGGCAAACCACAACTCTTCTCTCCTCTCTACCGAACGAAAGAATGAAGAACAAAGATTTCACTACCTTGCACTGCCTATTGCCGCAACATATATATAGCTAATGAAATAATCAAAAAAAAGGAATTTTCTTTCCTTTTCACAACATACATAGCTTGCCGCCTCTTATAATAATAAGAAATTTGATTTCCTAATTCACAATTAGGAATTTGGTTTTACTCATGCTTTTAATACTATACACTAATGTACCCTCAAATAATATATTTTGCGTATACAAATAATGTATCTTTAATATATTAAAAATATATTGTACTTTTTATTTATGATCCGTACAATAGTATGAATCATGGTCAAAGTAATAATAATTGACTGAAAAAAAATTGCAATTTTAAGCTAAAAAAATGGGCAGCCCAACATCCAATTAGTGAAGCTATCTTTATTACTTTTGGGTCCAATGGAGTATATATTTTGAAAGCCCGTTATTAAGCCAAATTGGGCTTGTGAATGTTACCAGCTCATTTATCAATAGTTATGATGTGCAACCATGTTCACCATGCACATGGTGAACACGAGATAGATTCATAATTTTAAGCTGTAGATTCATAATTTTTATATTGTAGATTTATAATTTCTACATCATAAAAATTATAGATCTACAACATAGAAATTATGAATCTACCCCTATGTTCATCATGCGCATGATGAACACGTTTCCACAGTATAATTTGCGCTCATTTATGTTGCGGGTTGTCTTGCTATGATGAATACTACTGACTCTATTACAATGCAAAGCCTCGATCCACAACCTCCCTTATGAGAGAGTAACTTGGTCACATTGGACTACAAGGTTTAGAACATTAATATGATAGAAAGAATACAAGTGAATAATAGTTTATCAAATGAATAATTAATATGATAGAGATAGTATTTGATTTATTATTCCGTGTGTTATAAATATTTCAATTAGTGGCCATTAATCTTGAGACTCTTCATTTGCCTTCTACTTAATATCTTGTTTATAATAAGTATGTGAAAGGTTGTAATGGTCCCTATAAATTGAGGGTGAAGGCTTAATGAAAAGATAGTCTTATGAAATTGTGTTCTATACATTGTGTTCTTCATCTCCCTTTTACTTATCTATTCTATATACTCATATACATACAATCAAGAAGCAGTACCGTGCAAACATCACGCGAGAACTGAGCTAGTTGATAGGCCAAATTACAACACGTTATCAGCACGAGTCTCTATTGTAATCTCCGGTGAACGGTACTATTGGTTCATTTTCCCGTGCATTTTGTTTTGTTTTTTTTTTTTTTAATCATATGCCATTGTTTATATACAAATATTATGTATATATATGGCTATGAGTTTGGTTTGGAACCTTCAATTATTGTTTCTATAAAATGAGTGATTATTCTTCTGGTTTGTTAACAACTTTTGAGTGATGAACCCCTCATCAAGACATTGTTAAGAATTTGGGTAAATACATGAATTTGTAAATACATATTATTTTTATTTATTCTCTCAATTCTTGTATATGAGTTAGGCTCTATATGAACCACGAATCCATGGTGCTTTGAGATGGTAAATACATGTAGTTATATGCCAAATTGTATGTATATGTATCCATGTATGTTCTATGACTATGGATATCGAATGCATAATCGGTCCTTATTATATGTTTGCATCGGATTGCTGTGTTTGTATTAGAATGCTAAGAAACATGTATGCATATTTATGTAAAAGATGTTTCTTCATCCATTGCTTGAACATGTATTCAAAATATTGATTTTTTTTCCAAGTTGTCATATTGCTTCCTAAAGTTGCATCAAATGATGATCTTGTAGATCATGCCTTTCATAGAAAATTGTGAATGATTTTTAATTAAGATTGTTAAAGTTTATTTTGTGGAAGCTTAAGAGTGAGTAAGACTTTAAAGTTTAATTGATGACTTGGGAGCATCAATTCGGTGTATTGGAGAATGAAACACCACTCGTTGCTTGTAGCGCGAGTTGATGCTATAAAACGAGTCGATGCTTGCTGCATCAATTCGGTGTTTTCGCACCGATTCGTGCCTTGTTGCTTGTAGCACGAGTTGATGATATAAACACGAGTCGATGCTTGTTGCATCAATTTGGTGTTTGCCTCACCAATTCGTGTTGCACCATTTCGGTTTTTGTGTATATTCGAAAGATCAATTTGTTTTCTGATTTTATCTTTTGACTTCATCTCGGAAAGTTCATTTTGCATCTAGAAGATATTAAATTCCTTATTTTGCTATAAACATGTGATATTATGAATGTATATGAGAACATATGATATATGTTTTGTAGATTATGTATTCAATTGTCAAATGTGAATTTATTGAACTCGCTTATGAAGGAAGCAATTGCTGGGTCCTAGATATTGAAATTTATTTGGCATCCAAAGAATTGAGCCAAGCTTTTGTTGCTAAGTCACAGAGCACAGATGCCCAGAAGGCACAAACTCTCATTTTCATATGTCACCACTTGAACCACGATCTTAAAAATGAGTATCTGATTGAAAAAGAACCCCTTGCATTAATGGAAGTCCCTGAAGGACTATTCCGACCAAAAGTCATCAAATGTTCTTCCCCAAGACACATTTTGACTAGTTTAATCTCATGTTTAATTTTGAGATTATAATGTAAGTCAATGATTAACTATAATTCAGCTATGCACAAAATAATCTCGCAATTGAAACTCTAAACAAGAAGTTTCAGATAAATATTTAATTGGAAAGACATTGCCAACTTTTCATGCGAGTAATTTGTACTCCAGCAGTAGTACAAGACAACAAATTATGCGAAGTATCCTAAGCTGATTTTAGCACTCCTTGTGGCTAAGAATCATAACTAGTTGTTGATGAAGGATCAAAAGTGCATGTCTGGTTGATTTTGCACAGGTGCTTGAAGCACATAATGTTACCTAGTTGAGTAACTTTATAAGGGGTTGCAGTCGAGATTATAATCGGTGTGGTATGAGTTTCGAGCTTAGAATAAGAAACAAAGTGATCAAGATATTCAAGGACGACCAAACCCATCGAGGCAAAATCCTAGCCAGAAGCAGGTTTGCTAACAATTGGGTCTGAAGGGCATTGATCCCTACGTGTCACGCATCAAAGCATTTGGTCATCGGAGAATGAACCTCATCTTGATGATTCTAGCTAATTTGCCTGAAGCAAATATTGCGATAAACGAAGATAATGAAATGACGAGGTATTGATGAAGAAATGATTGGTGTCATGATAATGTTTTGAACAATGCATGAAAATATATTCATGGCCAAAAAAAAAGTTAGTTCATGCCTGAAGCATGAAGTATCCGAGTAGTTAGCTCATGCTTAAAGCATCCGAGAAGTTAGCTTATGCTTGAAGCATCCGAGAAGTTAGT